TAATTATTAAGGCCCCTACACTACTTGGTATGGAGGTCTGAAATATGAGTAGCCATATGGGTAGTTCTCTAAATGAGGGTCCCTTTTTGGGGTCCTTTTTATACGGGTGCCGCACTATATTGGGGACCCAAGCAAGGACCCTAGTTCAGAGAACTACCCATGCACCTCGGAGTCCCTTATGATACGGCTGATGGACAAAGATCCTGCAGGACCTTATATACCTAAACCATGGGATGTGTGGTACTATACTATATTTGGATCATGCAGAATTTTGTCCATCAACAGTAGATCCCGAACCCCATAGTCTAATCAGTCTATATGGGGAGTTCACCAACTTAGGGTCTCCCCCCAAGCTAGTACGGCACCCCTATAAACGGACCCTGACAAAACAAAAACGCAATGTAGAGAGTTGCCCATTTATAAACCCTGAACCCTATAAACCCCAGTATATATATATATATGTATATATACACACATATTTTTTGAGCAGTGTCGGCTTGTAAGGGAGTTCTCGTACGCAAATCGCCCAGAAGCTTGGATAAGAGTACCAGACCCTCAAAGCATCTTAAACACCAAACTCCGAACCGGTACCTAGGATCATGGGTTTAGGGTTTAGGGTCTAGGGTTTAGGGTTTAGGGTTTTGGGTTTACGACTTTGGGCTCAGGATTTTGGGATTGGGATTAGGGTTTGCGTCAGTCCACTGTTGCGCTTTAGATCCTGCAAAGGGCAGAGGGTGTACCGAAATCCAATAGTGTTGTGCTCGAAGATCAGGAGTTAGTATAGGCGCCTGAAGAAGGCCAAGATCATGCTCAGTTCCCGAATATGCTTGTTGCAAGGAACCCGCTCTATTCACGTAGGCCTCGCTATGAGGCTTCTTTAACTGTGTTGGTGCGCCGGTTGAGTCCGTCCCACCCTTTCAATTCCAGCTCCAGGGCTGAAATTTGACCTTCTCGAAAGGCCGTCACATCAAGCAACCCTAAACAGGTGCTCCAGTAATTGAGACCCTCGATTCTGGCAGTGTGGGACGAGGAGTCAGCCTCTTTCTGAAATCTCTACGATGCCGGGTACACTTCTGAGAGCTAAGCAACGGTTGTTCCGCGACGATGGAGTCTGTTTACAACGCCGATGTACTTCAGATATCCTAAACCCTAAACCCTAAACCCTAAACCCTAAACCCTAAACCCTAAACCCTAATCCTCAGGGTTTTGGGGCTCATGGGACGTTCGCCTGCCAGGAGCTGCAGTCTATGTTTGTCGCTGCTGCCTCCCGGATCTCAAATCGTTTTGGGGCAACAAAGGAGGACAACCAAGTAGGGTTCTTTCTACCAGGGTTGCTAAACGGGCTTCTTTTAGGAGTACTAAAGAAGCCTTTACAAGTAGGATGTGAAGGCATGCTGTACTGTTCAGTCAGGATTTGGGATCTGCCTTCAGATTGGCATAAAGCCCTTAAGCCCTACACCGTAGAGCTAGACCTGGGCTTTTGAGAGTCTGGTTGGCTGACACGGTTTAGGGTTTAGGGTTCACGTAGAGACTGTTAACTACCATTCTGTGACCTTAGGAATCACGATGTGCAAATGCAGATTCCGACATCAATGACAACCCTCGAACGTTTCAACAACATCGAAGATAAGTCAAATTTGCAGGAAGCGCTGAAAGCCGCTAGCCAGCAGAGCCCAAATCCTTACAGCCTCAAGCCTAAACCGTAAGCTCCCAAAGCCCAAGCCCTTGAGGCCGCAAGCCAAAAACCGTAAGCTCCCAAAGCCCAAACCCTTCAAGCCTCAAGCCAAAACCCAAGAGTCCCAAAGACTCAAAGACCTAAGCCGCAAGCCTAGGACATGAGTCACGACAAGTGCTTGGACTATGCCGAGTCTCTCGTAACGCTTTGGAAGTGTGCTTAAGGATTCGAGGAGTTTCTGATTCAGTCACGGGTTATAAATTTATAAACAAAACTCCAATAGCTTCGGACAAAACTTTATCGTCGAGGATCAACCTCAAGTCAGTACGGGCTGAAACTACATTCCTAGTTCTCATACTTAGCAAAGCATTGGGATGATTGCCTATGGACATCTTGGTCCCCTACAAACACCCTAAACCCTGAACCCTAGACCCTAAACCCCTAAACCCTAAACCCTAGACCCTAAACCCTCAACCCTAAACCCTAAACCGTTTCTGGATGCAAGTCGCAGCCCCCTGCCATGAGAGACCCGCTTCCCTGTGACTCCTTCAGGTTTTCTCTGCGCTTGCCGACCTCGGCCCGTTGACTGCTGAAGCTGCAACCTTGAAAGCCTAAAACCTTAGCATCAAAATCGCCCAAAAGCCTTATATAATAGGGTCTTTGGGCCCAAAAGCCTTAACACATGGGCCCTTTGAGGGTAAGGGAAACTCTGCAAAACCTAAAGGTCGAAAGAACAAAGAACTATTGCGAGATTCGTCGCAGTAGTAGGACCGAAAACCAATGTGAAGAGACAGCAACAACAGCAACAACAACAACAACTGTTTATCGTTTTACGAGCTTGTAGACGCACGGGAGCAAGAATTGTAGCATAGTGGCTGTAGCCAGCAGAATGCACGAACCTTGGACTACTCAGCTTTTTGATGCCGAGGTTTCTGCATTGGATCTTTAACTCTGCCCATTGGCAGCTGCGAAACCAGCCGCCTGTTCTAATTTTGGGAATGTAGTTTCAGGGTTTAGGGTTTGGAGTTTCGGGTTGAGCTTGAGGTTGTCCGTTTGAATTGGGGCCAGGGGCTTGTAGGGTTTGGGATTCTGACAGACTCTGCGAAGTCATAGTCTTGAGTCAAGTTTTGGCAGCTCAAGAGTTGAGGGTGCTGCATCCAATCTTAGGATCGCCGACACCCCCTGACAAAAGTAGTTTTATGCAGCTGCCTGAGCTTTGTCATACCAAGATGTGGAGACGCGTGTCAAACTCTGGATCGTAAACCTAACAAACCCAAACCCTGAGTCAAACTCTGGACCTGAAGCCTAACAAACCCAAACCATAAACCTTGGACCTAAAACTTGAGAAAGGGCTTGGGTCTCAGACTGTTTCACTGGAGTTCTACAATTGAAGCACTACCTCGAACGCCTTGCACTCGTCAATCCTCCGCCCTAAGCCTTTTCAGCAGAACGGCTTCCATTGAAATTTCACTTCAAGCATGCGGGGATCCAGAGACTAGCTTCCTTTTTTTTTTGGGGGGGGGGGGNNGGGGAGGCGGGTGGTGCTGTGTATCCTCCTACTTACAACATGAGTACCACGGATCGGAGCGAAGGCCCGGAACACCCCAACCCAACAAAAGCTCCCCTCCATAAAACAAAATCTCCGCTGAGGCCCAAACCCCTACATACCCAAGTAAGGCCTTAAGCCCTAACCCCTTGCAGATTCAGGTTTCTTCAGACAGGAGTGTCCTGGAACGGCATATACAAGGGACGGAGCCCTGACTGTGCTACGCGTGGATTTGGGATTTGTCTTTTTTTTTGCATAAGTTATTTGTACGTATGGATATATATATATATGTGTGTGTAGATATCGCATATCTATATATATATATAT